CAGCTTGATCAGCTTAAAATATTGAGGTAGGTGGTCTATGATATTGCTATGAGATTGAGATGTACTATACAGAAGAGGAGCAACTTGAAATCCAACCGAAAAACAACCAACATACCATGAAACGTACAGTTTGCCCGTGCCGCAACCCTGCACGAGACTTCTTGACATTGATAAAAATGAAAAGGCCACTTGAATATCATTATTTGTGTTCTAAACTAGTCGGTAATACAGTAAACCGCCAATGGTAGAAGGCTCTGTGGCTCCCCGTTCGCTCAACACTACTACACCTTTACACCACTACACCTACACCTACACCTTACTACACCTTTTTAGGCGCAATTTCAAAAAGTTGAAGGCCAAATTCAAAAAGTTGAAGTTCAATTTCAAAAAGCCTAACACCAATTTCAAAAACTTTAAGTCCAATTTCAAATAAGTTAAGTCCATTTTCAAATAAATGAAGTCCAATTTCAAAAAGATAAAATACTATTTCAAATGATACGAGTACCTATGCTATGAACTATTACATTTAGTAACATTTAGTTTTTAGACCGTCATTTCCATGTAAACGACGGAAATGCAGCTTGCAAGTGAACTTTTTAAATGATTCACAATAGCCAGGAGTATGTTGAGGTAAACGGCTTCATACAAAAGAACGAGCAATATTAGAACGAATGCTATTGTTGATCGTAGTTTTACTCGTTTTTACTCTGGTTGGCTCAAATATTCAAATGGTTGCTAACTTCGAATTCAGCTAAAAAAAAAACTAGCCTAGAAGCATGTAAAACTCAAAAAAGTGAGCCGAGGTCACCAAAGGTGATGACCTGGCCTGACCTTCAAGTGACCTTGACATCTACCCTAATGCTTGGGAGCAGCATCAAATCACATGTTTGAACGCTTGAAACCACGGAAAGCTTGCAAACGCGCGGCTAATGCGAGCCGACATACGCCGAATCGCGATTCCGGCCAAACATGGTCTCGGAAAGTAGGTCACAGGTCAAAGGTCATTTGGGTCAGGGTCATGAAATTTACAGGGTAGGTGTAAAATTGATCAATGCGAGGGTATTGAAAGTTTCGTCGCAATCGGCCGCTTTCCACGTGAGTTATTCGCGAAAAACCTTAGAGGGGTGCATCAACCTCCCCCCCTCCCTGTGCCGGCGAGGGTTAACGACAAAATAATTATGATACCAATCGTTATCCTACATCTTTCATCGAGTGAATCTAACATCTCATTATGTTTGCTATGGCATAAAAAGATTATATTATCTCTTATTGCATCACTCAACAACTCGTTTGAAATTGTATTTTATCTTTTTGAAATTGGACTTCACTTATTTGAAAATGGATTTAAGTTTTTTGAAATTGGACTTAAGCTCTTTGAAATTGGTGTTCAGCTTTTTGAAATCGAACTTCAACTTTTTGAATATGGTCTTTCACTTTTTGAAATTGCGCCTAAAAAGGTGTAGTCCTCATCAACTGATAAAAGTTACGGAGCCCTATTCTCCGTAGTGTTAAAGCTGGAAATCGACTGATGGCTCTTCGGTGATGAATGCTGACGCTGTTCGCGGTAAGCATTTACAACTATTCTGAATAGGCTACCAGCTTTGTACTTTGTAGACAAACATTGCGCAAAAGACCTCATTGGGAAATTGAATGCTGTTACTAATTTAATATTAGTGCTCAGGCATCTTGTATTTTGAGGTTTGTCGTAGAAATAAAACGAAAATATGAAACAAAACTTAGCAGTTATCCTGCACATGCATACTTGCGTTGAAACGTTTATTTCTGGCTCCCTAAGTCGCTTGTACAGCTATTGTTCTGGCTCCGATATTATCAGCGAATCGGCGCTTTTTACCAGCCCTGGCCGACATCGCCGAATCGCGATTCCGGCCAAACATGGTCTCGGAAAAGAGGTCACAGGTCAAAGGTCATTTGGGTCAGGGTCACGAAATTTTCAGGGTAGGTGTAAAATTGATCAATGCGAGAGTACTGAATGTTTCGTCGCGATCGGCCGCTTTTTACGCGAGTTATTCGCGAAAAACCTTAGGGGGGTTGCATCAACTCCCCCCCCCCCCCTGTGCCGGCGAGGGTTAACTAGGAATAAGGCGTTGAAGAGAATTTTTCAAGGAATAGAGCTGTGCAAAAATATTTCTTGTATTGTTACAACTGTATCCGCCCTCGAAGGATAAATATTGTTGATGCATCAGAAACACATCCCGTGGAATGCGTTTGGACTTGGCTGGATCTAATATTAGCGAGTATCTGCTAATGCAGTTTCGTGGCTAGCACAGTATGCACACAAACATACATGCCCTTGGATTATTCCTCACTTGAATGAAACTTTTGCTATAATAACTATTCCAAGCAGTTGACAGGTTTTAGTGCAATGCAAAGTCGGAACCGTCCCGCGCGGGCAGTCTCCCAGGCGGCGCGTAACGGCCGCCGCCGGCCGCCGCGCCGCCGCTCTGGCAGGGTGTTTGACTTTATACCCCTGTTTTTAGAAAAGTTGTGGACCGATTTACTCGATTCCTGCATGGCAAGATCCGCTATTCAATTCTTAGCAGGTACCGAAAATTTGACGTCAATTACACGATCCACCGCCCATATTGCGGTGCTGCCATCTATTGACAAGACTGGAGAACTAAGGCCGTTTGGCTATCCACTTCTGACACACCATGTTATCTTTTTTCACCCCATCAGTCTAAGATATACTTCTGCGAGAACGTTACATTTGACTAGGTTAACCCGCGCCCGGCTGGGGGTCCTGGATTTCCACGCCCTGCTGGGGGGGGGGGTGTTTGAACACCCCCCCTTGTAACTCGGCTCCTGGGCCACGTAGCGATACGCGGAAGGCGGCGTTCGAAAGAGCGTCAAAAATAATGACGAAATCACTTCGGTCAATTTTTTGGTCAGGTCAAAGGTCAGGTCACCAGAGGTCATTGAAGGCAAAATTTCGCCGATTTCCAGGTCGAATGTCAAAAATTTCTAAGAAGCCAACGCATAACTCGGGAACCAATAGAGCTACAGCGCCGCGGAAAAGCGCATTCGATAGCCCTATTAACGCCCTTTCTGAGTAATTCTCTCAGATTTGACCTAACGTCAACGGTTTTGCCTGCAGGGGGCAAAAACTGCAAAAATAGCCGATTTTTTCGGAAACAGTTTTTCTGCAATAACTTTTGACCCAAGCCCTGTACGAGCTTATTTTTACCGGCATCGTGTTCCTCTCGTCAAGACGCATCGAATGAACTATAACTTGACCTTGAAAGGTCAACTTGAAAATTTGACCTCAGGTCAAGGTCATGACCTGACCGGAAAGGGTCATGTTGCATATCAGTCGATCCGTATCGTCGAGCTGAACACATCTAAGGCGTTTTCATCGCTCTAGCATGCCTCTATCAAAAGTTATTTGCGAAAAACTGATAGATACCATTCGTGACCTAAGATGACCTCAGGGCATAAACAAGGGTCACGGACACCATTTTCATGTTCAGTGTGTCTAAACCACTTGTAATTCGGTGTTTGGGAGTGTTTATAATGTCTTTCGTCCAAAAGAGGCGCATTTCAATTTTCTCCCATTGACTTATAATGGGGAGGTCGCAAAATTGACCTGACCTTAGGTCATCGATATCAAAATTCTGAGATATACATTTTGTACATGCTATTGCTCTTAGCGATCGCTGAAAGTTTCAAAGCGATCGGTCACTCGGTGTAGCTATGACAGACATTGAAACTTTTTATGAGGTGAGGTCACTTCAAGTGACCTGGTGACCTGACCTTGAATGACCTTGGTCTGAAATTTTCACAACATGTGTAGAATTGATGTATGATAAGGTGTACCAAAAACGGCGGCGCTCCGCGCCGCCGTTTTTGAGATATTCGCGAAAAACCACAAGGGGGGGTGTTCAAACACCCCCCCCCCAGCAGGGCGCGGGTTAAATATGCATTTTGCAAACATTCACATCGTTTTCACTTTTGCTGCCCTTTACGCACTACACATTTATTCGTTGTAAATTCGACACATTTTGATCATTTGCGCCAGTCGTCAAAATCCCTTAGCCGAGGCCCCGCTGCCAGGGCGAGGGTTAAACTGTGAAATCGGCCCGTGTGATGCGGCACAGTCTACCATTCCAGGCAACTGGTTGCCTGTGAAAAGTGAAACACCATTCTGTAGTCAACTGCACTATATGCAGCTCATAGATCGGTCTGAAGAACGCGTGCCAGAGTCACCAATAGCAATCTCGCTGGAAGAGGCTGACCCTCAACGCGCTGGAGCTGCTTAACAAATTAATTTCTATCCAGTGCATACCCATACTCAATACTCAGGCAGTGGAGCGAGCCATCCGACTCGTAACTTAGGCAGCGTGCGCTGTTCTCATTGAGAGGGCATGTCTCGGTTACACCACATCTGTGCTAGGACGCAATATAGCAGTGTGGTCCGGCGAGCAGCCATGCAGGTGGCTGTGGTGGGCAGCGCACCTTTGTGCTCTCTCAATATAGCAGTGTGGTCCGGCGAGCAGCCATGCAGGTGGCTGTGGTGGGCAACTCACCTTTGTGCTCTCTCTCAATATAGCAGTGTGGTCCGGCGAGCAGCCAGGCAGGTGGCTGTGGTGGGCAGCGCACCTTTGTGCTCTCTCACAATATAGCAGTGTGGTCCGGCGAGCAGCCATGCAGGTGGCTGTGGTGGGCAGCGCACCTTTGTGCTCTCTCTCAATATAGCAGTGTGGTCCGGCGAGCAGCCATGCAGGTGGCTGTGGTGGGCAGCGCACCTTTGTGCTCTCTCTCAATATAGCAGTGTGGTCCGGCGAGCAGCCAGGCAGGTGGCTGTGGTGGGCAGCTCACCTTTGTGCTCTCTCACAATATAGCAGTGTGGTCCGGCGAGCAGCCATGCAGGTGGCTGTGGTGGGCAACTCACCTTTGTGCTCTCTCAATATAGCAGTGTGGTCCGGCGAGCAGCCATGCAGGTGGCTGTGGTGGGCAGCACGGTGACTATGTGGGCAGCTCACCTTTGTGCTCTCTGGCAAGCCGCGTTAGTGCGGCGGCCGCGTGCTCGCTCTGTCTGGGCAGCGGGGGCGGCGGCTGCTCGAACTCGGTGTCGCCCAGGCCGTCCGAGCCGTGGAAGAGGTCCGTGGTACCCAGCTTGCCATTCACCAGGCCGCAGTGTGCTCCGCTGTATATAGGAATCTACCGGCGAAACACGGCTCTTACCACATATCGAACATACGGTGAATATGTATATTATATCGTTTGGTAGTTCATGCTTCTCTGAAAAGGTACGGCTCTCGCGAGATTAAGCGGTAGGTTTTGCACTTTTACATTTCCGGTTATATCTCAGAAAGTAATCGATCTGCGATGAAGCCATTGTACACGATCGTGGCCGGCTTGTGAACCAACAAGTCGATCGCATCTTCAACACTTAAAAGCTTAAGACGACGAAGATATAGCCTGAAGTACACTAAATTTTCTAGGTGCAAAACCTACCGCTAAAACCCGCGAGACCTGTACGTAGAATATGTCGATCAAGACGGCCCATATTCAGCCCGGACTCAGCCCAGATTCGAGACACCTCAGATCAAGTTAAAACTTGCACACAATAAATGCTGTGAGTATGATATATTAAGTATATTAACCATTTTAAAGGGAGAGGCAAAAACAACTGTAGATCCCGTCTAAAAGAGTCCCATCTTTCGATAATTATTTTTGACACTCCAATCCCGCTAATGACGTGCTGCTACGTGGTCCAAAATCCGAGTAAGACAGCGGAAAACGCACCCCCCCCCCTCCCACCCCCGCACTCCATGGAGAAATCAGACTGCACCAGCAGGAGGCGGGTGAAGGACTGGTTGCAGCCTCCGTGCCCGCCACTCACGTCCAGCCGGTTGAAGGTGCCGAGGATGCGGCGCGCGTTGCGGGTGCAGTGCTCGATGGTCGAGTTGCCGAACGTGACGCAGATGGCGATGAGGCGCAGCTCGCGGCGCCGGTCGGCCGCCAGCACCATGCCGATGGCCTGGGCGTCGTCCACGCCCGGGTCCGTGTCGATCACCACCGGCCGGGGATGGGCCGCTGCCGGACCGAGCCACGCCCCCGCCCCAACCACAGATCAGTGCAGAGACAAACAACATCCTCGCTGCCGGACCGAGCCGCGCCCCCGCCCCAGCCACAAATCAGTGCAGAGACAAACAACATCCTCGCTGCCGGACCGAGCCGCGCCCCCGCCCCAGCCACAAATCAGTGCAGAGACAAACAACATCCTCGCTGCCGGACCGGGCCGCGCCCCCGCCCCAGCCACAAATCAGTGCAGAGACAAACAACATCCTCGCTGCCGGACCGAGCCGCGCCCCCGCCCCAGCCACAAATCAGTGCAGAGACAAACAACATCCTCGCTGCCGGACCGAGCCGCGCCCCCGCCCCAACCACAAATCAGTGCAGAGACAACATCCTCTGAGCAGTGTCTGTCCGGGAGTGTGTGCCCGACGGCGCACCCCGCAATGGTATTGTTCATAAAATTCACTCGTAATGCCCAATAATAATGTACTTAAATTTATCAAGGAATTTATCACTATAATCACTATATCACTATATTTATCACTATATAATACAATTTTAGCTCGAAAGTATTGATGGACTTATGTTAAAAATTCAATGGGAATAGGCGTTGCGTGGAATGCCGGCAAAGCCTGAAATCGTCGGAAAAATTAGTGCGTTATTACGAATGCCCGATTTTTTTTTTTGACATTTCACCAAGTGCCAGGCGGAGTCACTGAAATATTATAGAAATTAACTGAATACACCCGTTCCCAAGGCATTGCATGAAATGCCTTAGTGACGACCGGTACGTTTTGTAACGATTACCGCAAATGTGCGAGTTCCCGTGCCTTTTTCGTATATAAAGGTTTCTGGCTCGGCACTAAACCAGACCCAACACCACCTAACCCATACCAACCTAACCTATCTACTTTTCACATAACACGTTCGGTTACGTTTGATATGTAGGTGAAAGTGGGATTTAGGCTTTGGGTTATAGGTTCGGTAAGGTTAGACTAGATTATGTTTGAGTTAGAAAGGAACTTGTCTCGAGGAGCCTATATTTAAAGACAGTGAGCTTTCGGCAACTGGCATTTATCAAACCAACGTGATAGCTGATAAAGGCCAGTTTGATATGGTCAGGCGTGATAGTTTGATAAAGGCAAGTGGCCGAAAGCTCTCCGTTTCTAAATATAGGTATTTTTCGGTTTTTTACACTTTTTGATGTCGAGGAAAAGGTCAATCTTGTTTATTACTTTAATCATATTAAATGTATTCCTCGCTAGAGCACTTAACAATAATACTAGACCCAAGGGGATTTGAACCGGCCATCCGTAGTTCAATATCTGGTGTCATACATCATCATCCCGTCTCCCAGCACACAGTCGGCGATTCAGGCGTTCTAGCGCTTCAGGGTCCGGGGCACAACATTTAACCCTATTAGTGTCAGGGGGGCTGTTTTCATCCACCCCTCAGGTTTTTCGGGAATATCTCCGAAACCGCTGAAGCTACGATGCTGAAATTTTCTGACTTTTCCTAAAACTAAATTGGGCACATTCTCTGAAAATTTCAAGTTCATAACTTTACCAGGGGCGGCTCTAGAGCACTGGGAATTGGGGGGTCCTATTCGTGAAGCGAGTCATTTGGGCGAAGATCACGATGCTGCACCAGTTTTACGAACAGTGAATGAATGGTATCGTGTGATAATATATGCAAAGATATTGTGCATCCTCTTTTGACACGTTTTTGCTATAATAGGCGGATCCAGGCGTCCAAAAAGGGGGGTTATGTTTTACCTCCCAACATAGGTGCCCTGACACCGCCTATGCATGACCAATACAATTGTAGTCGTTCTCTCATAAGAAAATTGTAACATAACAAGACCATTACCACCATTTTTAGAAACAGTACCAACAAAAACCTTATTTACTATACTTTTTGTGTACCCCCAATCTCAATAATCTGTATCCGCCTATGATTTTTGAAAATGCATATTTTTAGGATCCATGTGAATTCCTGGTTCATTCTCTATCGATCGGCAAAAGTTGCGTTAAGATTGGTTCAGAAACCTGGCCGTGATAAACATTAAACAGTCTAAAATGTATATGCAATTTGCCCGTTTTCACCCCCCTCTACCCCCCTATTGACATTTTTTATTTTTATTTTTTAGAAAGGTAGATCACGTTGAGCGAAATCGAAGGCAAATGTCGAAACAGTCAAATCTGGGCCAAAACTACCCCCGAGAATATCGTCCTGGAGACGCCTCTGCGCAAGCTAGAAACTAAAAAAATTGACACAATGTGCCCAATAAATAGCAAGGAAAAGTCACCAAATTTTGAGCCCCTAGCTTAAGTCGTTTTTCGTCGAGAGCAAAAAAAAACTACAGGTGGGGGCCGATTCGCCCCCCCCCCCCCCCAGTAATAGGGTTAACCCTCGCCCGCACATGCCATTTTCCCATCCTAGAACGCATATGGGGGGTTGCCACCCCCCGCGCCATTTCGTTCCTGTTGGAGATAGAGCTTCACGGTAAGGACCAAAAAGATTTTTTGGGAAGAGACGAATCCAATGATACCCAGCTTTACCTTCTCAGGTCAGTCATTGACCTTCCAGGTCAGGTCAAACTAAAAAATGTTGCTGTTTTGGGTCACCGTTGGATATCAAGTGCGCTGCTTATCATATACCGATGACGATGCCGTTTTCTGGTGCCAAGCCAGCTAGAACCTCTTTGTCACACTACCCCACCAGGTTTTTGCTACTGAGGTCATTTCAGGTCAACTTAGGTCAAGGTCAATGATATGTGTTTGTATGTTTGTGTGTGTCTGTGTGTATACTGATGTTTGCACCGATTGTTTATGTGTCCATATTACATGAAATCATGATCTGAGAAGCTTTTACCAAATATGCAGTCAAAAAATTTCACGAAAAGTAAATTCAGCTTGCCTTAAACGCAATTATTTTAGATGACCTAGGTTGACCTTGACCCTGACCTTGACATCTGTACATCGTCGAACAACATGTTTCATTATAGATGGGAGGTAAGACTGGCAAAAAGGCCGAAATCAAGGTGTCAAAAGCTCACAAGGCCCATAGCCAACGCAAGATGTTGAGAATTGGTCATTTGGGTCATGACATGACCTGAAAAACAAGGTCATATCTCCGAAACCAAAAACCACAGGTACTTGAAATTTTCAGTGAAAATCAAAAAAGGATGGAGGAGCAGCTATACGAAACATCAGGCTTCTAGCTTTAAAAATGTTTTGCAGAGTGCAGAGCAGAAAAACTACCTGGGGGTGGCAACCCCCCCCCCCCATGTGCGGGTGAGGGTTAAAGGCAATCGTTAAGTCGGTATAGCTATGACGAGCATTCTAATCTTATCTGAGATGAGGTCACTTGGCGTAACCTGGTGACCTGACCTTGACCGATCTGGGTCTGAAATTTTCACATGTGCGGAAAAGATCCACAAACAGGTGTGCCAAAAACGGCGGCGCTCTGCGCCACCGTTTTTGAGATATCTGTGAAAAACCGCAGGGGGTATTCAAACCCCCCGCCCGGCGCGGGCAAACTGCAAGGCTTGGGTGTAACTTCAGCACTATAACTTTTGGCATAATTTTTTGGCATGACCGTTCATAACACACGTTCTTATGCGTGCCATTTGCTATGATTATCCGTCGACATTTTTCTACGACAGATGAAAATACTCAAAGACGTTTTGTTTAACGTTCTGTCATGCTATAAGCCTATGGAGGCATGTTGCAAAGAAAACGCGACTGTTTATGATAAGATTGCGTATGTCAGGAGAAACACATTGAAACAACGTACAAAATAAGAGATCAGTAGTTTAGAGGCTCACTAGAGATATAAACTGTGAAGTGTAAAGTGCCGCTAGAATACTGAAATCGCCCACTGTGCACCGGTGAGATTTGGATACGAAAAAGGTACGTGAACTCGGACATCTGCGGTGATCGTTAGAGAAAGTCACTTGAGCATACCCTGTAATGTCTAGGCAGCGAGTGTACTATGGCCCGAAGGTTTGAACTTTGAATTGTGAAAAACGCCCGCCCGCCGCAAAACGCAAACACCGCAAAACGTGCAAAACGCACGCCCGAAACGCCAACGCAAAGGTCGCAAAAAATAAACAAACGCCCGCCCGCCGCAAACCGGAAATAAAAAAAACGCAAAAACGCCGCAAAACAATAAAACCGCCCGCATCGCACGCCCGCTAACCGCCAACCGAAAACGCCTAAAAATCGCCCGCCCGCCGCCAAAAAAAAACACCGCAAAAAACGAAAAAGCGGCCGCCAACCGCAAACAAATTTAACACCGCAAACGACGCAAAAAAAAGAAAAACGCCCGCATCGCCCGCCCGCCCGCCCGCCACCAAAGACAAACACCGCAAAAAAACGCCCGCCTGCCGCAAAACGTAAACACCGCAAAACGTGTAAAACGCACGCCCGAAAAGCCAACGCAAACGGCAAAAAAATCGCCCGAACGCCGCACACCACACATAAAAAACGCCGAAACGCCGAAAAAATAAAACCGCCCGCACCGCACCGACGCTAACTGCTAACCGAAAACGACTAAAAGTCGCCCGCCAGCCGCCAAACGCAAACACCGCAAATAAGCGCCCGGCCGCAGCAAGATAATAATTTATCAACGACTGGCATACCGCCAGGCTGGTCATTTTCACAAATCAAAAAGATATCTGCAAAAATCTCCTAGATGAAAGCGCCCGATTAAAAAACGGATGGCACGTGCGTGTTCCTCGCCCCCAACTTCCTTCAGGTCAATCGTCATTTGGGTCACCTAACGCATTGACGACCGGCTGGGTGGAATGAACATTGCGCCAAGAAACGCAAGTATATTGTCAAAAAGAATCCCCAGAATGGTAGATCCCAAAAGTTTGAAGCTACCACTTTGGCCCACTGGACGACACCTTAAACAGTTGCCGACCGGATGACACCCATTGTTTGGTCACCCACGCCATAGTATGCATCATGGGTGCGCCGAAATGACCAAAAGTCCCAATTTCCGGTGTGCAGGGTCATTTTCAACGGCACGTGGCACGTGGTTCTGGACTTTTCCGGCCACTTTGTGACATACCCATGGGTAGTGCACCGAATGATGGTTGATCTGCATGGAAGAAAATGGGGGGTCGTTTGGATCGTTTTCGAGCAATCTGCCGTGGAACGCATTTTTTCATTTTGCCCATTAGCTTAACACGGGAATTTTCAAAGTCACGTGGCACGTGCACCAGATGGTCCGCGGAGGGGAGACCCATACCAGAACGTAGATCACCTGGCCCACTAGAAATTTTAATTTTAATCGCTCTCAGTCATGCCCGCCACGTGATGCCAGCAAACACACGTAAGGTAGTTGTTCAAGCCCTAGTCATATCGATCGTGCGGTATTGTATAAGCGTGTATGGGTCGTGTGGTGTGACCCAGATGGCTCGTGTCCAGAAAATTCTCAATTTCTGTGCCAGAGTCGTCAGTGGCCGTAGACGCAGCGACCACATCTCTGACGTCATACAGCAGCTCGGCTGGCTGCGGGCAGACGAATTAGCCGAGTACCACACTATCTGCGCAGTCCACCGAGCCATCACATCGGGTACTCCTGAACATATCAGTGATACCATCGGTCCTGTAGCCCGCGACATACACGACCACAACACCCGAAACGCAGGGCTGATAACACAGCCACGGGCCCGAACAGAGACGGGGAGACGTCGACTATGTATTAGAGGAGTCGCGATGTTAAACGGTACCGAGTTGAGCCCGTATATACCAGCGTTTCGCGCCAATGTGAAGCGTGTGATCATGTCGAGACGCCGAGTAGCTGTCTGAACCTGTTCCAGTCGCACGCTTGTTTGTGTTTGCCAGTGATATCTATGCCTACTCGTACTGTCTATATGTTCCCCGTTTTATCTGGTTTTACGTGTCTGGTGAAAAGCCACTTTTATTGTGGATCCTAGATGAATACACATCTGTATCTGTATCTGTAAATCCTGAAAAAATCAGAATTTTTGGAGCAGCCGTTTTCAAGAGCATCAAGTTGTACTGATCTCAGGCAGCTTTTGCCATTTGTCAGGGAACTCAGATTTGTTTTTCAATAGAAAAACACAATTCTAAAGAATAGTGTTTTAACTATTGACAACAAACCTTCGGTTACATACATAGGGGAGAGTGGGGTGGCTTGTATCAGTTTTTACTCCGAGACCCATAATCTCGTAACGTTCCGTGATAAACTCATTATTTCCATACTATCTCCTTCCTTGATTCTTCTGCTTTTTTTGTGCGAAGTAACTTTTCCGCTACCTCTACCAGTTTTTCTTCTACGGTCTGCCGAATAGAACAATGTTTTTGATACAACTTGCCCCATGGCTTGGGTGAGTTGTATATCACATGGTGGGGTAATTTGTATCACTATTTCACGTTTCAGGGAGTGTGCTTGCTACTGGTTTTAAACATAACAACAACATTAAATGGGGTTAATACAATGTATATGCTCAAAGGCTTCACTTTTATTAGACCAAACTTAGGTCAATCCGAACGAAACATCGAAACGAACGAAACATCAACAGACTAGACGCAAAAGTGGCCCGTTAAGAGCAAAGAAGCCAACACATTGTGCCGAAATGGAACGAGTATTGACTAGCTACCTACAAACGCGAGCCAGGGCTTAGCTTTCGCGATCAAAAGCAACATACCCATGCATACATACATACATACATACATACATACATGTTACAACATACCCCACCCGGCTCTGATACAACATGTACCTCGCCGCCATCTTGGAAAAAACATCCTCGTGCTCAAAAACAGCGGACAGCTGGAGAAATCCATTTTCACTCACGCAGCCTTAGAACCTACCCTCACCACCGCTACGGAGATCTTTCAAATTCGTGCACATCTAAATGCCCAAAACACACATCTTCTTGCAACTTAGTTTTTTAGAATGACATTAAAAAAACATACTCGTAAAATCGGCTCTCACCTCGAGACGCGTCCACCCAGCCACACGACAGAACAGGGAAAGGTGGCGCCCGGAAAACCTCGTCGGCTGGTCGTGTCACGAGCGCCATCCATTGGATAAGTTTGACACAATTAGCCCTGATACAACTTGGACATGATACAACTCTCCCCGCTCTCCCCTACTCAGTTTATTTCGGCCGACGGCCATATTTTAGCGACTGCCTGGTCTCCGCCTTCCATTCCATGAAATGTATAAAAAACAAAATCCAGCATTTGCTGTGACGCGCGTATTTCTACGAACATTTCAGTCTTGGCCGGCATTCCACGCAATGCAACATTTCATGAAATACTGGATTTCAGCTGATGCGTGCGACATATGCATTTTCTCATAGACATCAACAACTGAAACATGTTTTAACCCGCGCCCCACTGGGGTATGTTCTGTAACGCGGCCCACTGGGGGGGGGGGGCATTCATAGCACCCCTTTTAACCCGCGCCCCACTGGGGGTCCTGAATTCCACACCCTACTGGGGGGGGGGGTTTGAACAACCTCCCCCTTCTTACTCGGCTCCTGGGCCACGTAGTGATACGCGGAAGGCGGCGTTCGAAAGAGCGCCAGAAATAATGACGAAAACACTTCAGTCACTTTTTTGGTCAGGTCAAAGGTCAGGTCACCACAGGTCATTGAAGGCAAAATTTCGCCGCTTTTTAGGTCCAATGTGGACAATTTCTCAGAAGCCAACGCATAACTCGGGAACCAATCGAGCTACAGCGCCGCGGAAAAGCACATTCGATACTCGATAGGCCTATTAACGTTCTTTCTGAGTATTGTTCTCAGATTTTACCTACCGTCAACAGTTTTGCCTGCAGGGGGCAAAACTGACAAAATAGACGATTTGTTCGGAATCGGTTTTTCTGCAATAGCTTTTGACTCAAATCTTGCACAAACTTTCTATTACCGGCATCGTGTTCCTCTCGTCAAAGACGCATCGAATGAACTATCACTTGACCTTGAAAGATCAATCTGAAAATTTGACCTAAGGTCAAGGTCATGACCTGACCGGTAAGGGTTATGTTGCATAACAGTCAACCCGTATGGTCGAACCGGACACAACTAATTAAGGTATTTTCATCGCTCTAGCATACCTACCTCTTTCAAAAGTTATTCGCGAAAAACTGTCAGCTACCATTACTGACCTGAGATAACCTCACGGGCATAAAAGGGGTCACGGGTATCATTTTCATGTTCAGTGTGTCAAACTTACTTGTAATTCAGTTTTTGAGAGTGTTTGTAATGACTTTGGTCCAAAACAGGCGCCTTTCAATTTTCTTCCATTGCCTTAACCCGCGCCCCACTGGGTGGGGGGAGGGGCTATTTATAGCCCCCTCTCGTTTTTCTGCAATAACTTCCCAACCGCTTGACGTATCGACGCTTAACTTTTACTACCTTCGGCTGCACCAATTTGACACCCTGCGTCAAAATATGAACTTCGTAACTACAATAGGTCAGCCGGAAATGGCGTCAGAGTGACGTCATGTTCGGCCGATTTCGACGCAAGACATTGAACCACGGCAATCGCTCTCAATAGCTCAGTTTTTAAACTATATCCAATTTCTATGCATGGGAGGACTCAGAATAGAGTGCGCTATCAAACTGATATCTCCGATTTTCATAGTTTTTGAAAACATTGAAAATTACATATAATAAACTTCAGAATTTATATTTTTATCTTTTGTTCCAAAAGTTTCTGACTTTTCGAGAAAAAGATAACGGAATACATGTGAAAGAACACATGCTTATGATTTACTCTAGCAATGTTTTGTCAGATATTTTCAAAAATAGTCAAGTTGTGAGCATTATAGCAAAAATTTCACAATAATAAATTTTCAAATCAATTTTTCAGTACGTATTTGACATTGTACACCAATAAAAATAGCACCATCGTGTTTCTGAGCTCACACTGCATCCGATAGACACCTATTTGGTGACAAATCTCAATTTTAAAATTTGACCTTTTTTGGCATGAAAGTGGCCTGCCCTAAGCTAAATTCAACTCCAAATGACCTCCAATGACATAAACGACATCGAATTAAAAATCTATAGCCTAAATGGACCATAAAATATGTGTCACGTGACCGATGCATGATATCAGATTTCCGTGACATGTGATGGCCTGACCTTGATCTGAAAATCCAAGTACAAGTTTGATGCCCTCGGGGTATCTAAAGCATCTGTTCACGTGTGTGTAAACCAAAAGTGAGGCTGATCTGACTTGTAAGACGGCAGCCAGAGCCCAAAATGTGAACAAGCCAAGCGTCGATAATTTTTACTTTGGCCTGACCTGTGACGCCATCGGTGACCTCGAGGTCAATGAAACCCGGTTTCCCTCGACAGTTTTCCTGGGCTATCAGTCCGAATTTTGACGATCGGACCAGTAGTTTCGGAGTTAGGAGGGGGCTATGAATAGCGCCTCCCCCCTCACACAGTAGGGCGTGTTATACGGGGCGCAGGTTAAGATGTTAAGTGACCTGGGTCTGAAATTTCCACAACATGTGCAGAGAAGATGAAGATATGCGCCGCCGTTTTTGAGATATTCGAGAAAAACCACAAGCGGGATGGTGTTTAATCCCCCCCCCCCTCCCCTTCTGCAGGGCGCGGGTTAAAATCACAGTTTAAGTCGAAAAAAGTTCGGCTCTAATTTCTTAAACCGCTACTTAGGCAAAATTTTCGGAAAGTAACCCTTGTTTTTGGGCCACGTTTCGCCATCGCTTCGAATAAGTTGTAGGCGCGCCCTGTCAAAAGCTCACCAAATCATCATCTTCCACTAAAAGCTACACCCTAAATCAATCTGGACGAACTTACCGTTTTGGTGTTTCGCATTTCCTGATACGTCCTCCATCTACGTCAGTCAGCGTCGCGTCGGGTCAGTACGGTAGCCTGAGGGGAAGAGGCAAAGTAACCAGTGGAGTAACAATCATAGTCACATGCGGTTTAACTACACTTTTTGCAGGGTTTGGTGTAGAGGTGGCAAAATGTGGACCCGAGGACCCGGTCCAAAGAACCGGTCTGGACCCATATGGGTCCAGACTGGTTCCTAGAAATTTTCTGACGGGTCCAGCCGGGTCCTACCATAAACCATATATCTTGCACACGACACCCGATTGCAAAATATGAAGTGGACGGAAAGGAAACATTTGCTCATGTAAGTTTCTTCGGACACTGTAGCTTTAACCCGCGCACCGACGGGGGTCTGCGCCAACTTCGCACCGACGGGGGGGGGGGGGCGGATGACCGCCCCCCTGAGATCTCGAGAACGAAGCAGGATAGCGACAAGCGATAAACGGCATCGGATACGCACGGCCAAGATCTACAACTTTTACTAAGGTCATTTTCAGGTCAGGTCAAAGATGACGTCACAGGGGTCGAAAAAGTCAAGATGGCGGCGCTAGATATGGAGAGAGTTTTTCTCGAATAGCTTTCGAATTAGTCAAGATAGGAACAAACTAAGGGCATCATCGTGATCCTCTCGTCAATCCGCACCGAATGATATATATGTTGACCTCGAAAGGTCAAGGTCAAAGGTTGACCTCAGGTCACGTGACCTCGAGGTCATCATGTATATCATTCGATGCGTCTTGACGAGCTGAACACAATGAGACCATCCACGCGTCTGTATCTTGTTCCTGTACGGAGTTATTGGCCAAAAACCTTTGGTGACCTTTGATGACGTCACATGACCTCACAGCTGCCCAACAGCAAAACAGACCTCAAGGTAGTGAAGGTTGATCGTATATGAAGTCATGTATGGTATATGGGGCCATTCCCATAGGCGGCGGAACGGGGAGGGCACCGGGGCACCGTGCCCCCCTTTGATTTTTACATTTCAACATTAGCCCTATGGGCGTTGCATGGAAACAATGGGACCAAAAGTCGGCAGTGCCCCCTCTTAACTGAAGGTGTTCCGCCGCTACTGGCCATTCCGACCCGTTTTAGTGGTAAAAACAGGGAGTTGATTTTTCCCCCATTGACTTATAATGGAGAGGTCGCGAAATTGACCTGACCTTAGGTCACCGATATCAAAATTCCGAGAGATACAAATTGTAGCTACTAATGACCTAATAATCTCCTGCGACTTTCAAAGGCCTCCGACATCTACTGTAGCTCTGGCACGGTGACAAAGTTGCAAAAAAGTGACTTGAGGTTGGGTCATTCAAAGTGACCTGGTGACCTGACCTTAAGAGGTAGGAGGTTCAAACTTGCACACCATGTGTAAAATTGATGAGGTTATAGTCATACCAAATTTCGCGGCGCTACGCGCCGCGGTTTTCCCGCTATTCGCGAAAAACCTCAGGGGGGGGGCGGATATCCGCCCCCCCCGTCGGTGCGAGGGTTAAGTATTCCCGGTGGGAAAGACCGTTTTACATGATGCAACTAATGATACCTACAAATAGCTTGTATTGACAGGCTTTTGGGGAACGGGTCCAACTGGTTCCGATTCCAACTTAGACCGGGTCTGACTGTTCCAGAAATATCCAGCCGGGTCTGGTTCGAGTCTGGTTCCCAAAATTTTCACCTTTTGCCACCTCTAGTTTGGTGTTTCACTAATTTTCCATGTGAACAAACATAAACAAGCTGTACACGAAGTTCGCGAACAAGTGACGTCATCGGCCGAACTTAGTGAAGAAACAACGAACAGTTCACGAACGTTCATGAACTGTTCGCGAACACGGTAAAGAGGGAGTGGATATGATCCCCGCTCCCCCCCCCCCTAGCCATTTTGTCCCTAATTGAGCTAGAACCTCGCGAAGAAAGCAAACGTGTGCGTTGTTTGGTACAAGAATCAGCGATCGGTATCCGATTTTAAGGTCTTAGGTCTACCGGTGACCGATGAGGTCGGGTAAGTAATTAGTCGGCTGTTATGACGGCGCTTTCAGGGCATCTCCTCGAGTTCGCAGTAGCTGAGCTTGACCATTGTGACCTGGATACCTTCCTGACACAATGGTCCTGACGATCCACTATCTTCTCCAGACTAGCGATCAGTTTTCGTCCTACTCCAGTTACCTATCCTTATTTTCCATCCTAACCAAGAGCCGCGTATTTTGCAGTCGAGCAGGGGTCAGCGATGCCAGCAGCTCCCCCAGATGCCAGCAACGGACTCTCAGAGCCCAGAGGTCAGTGGGGCCGGCACGGTGCCCCATTAACCCGCGCCCTGCTGGGGGGGGGTGTTTGAACACCCCCCCTTGTGGTTTTTCGCGAATATCTCAAAAACGGCGGCGCTCCGCGCCGCCGTTTTTAGTACACCTTATCGCACATCAATTCTACACATGTTGTGAAAATTTCAGACCAAGGTCATTCAAGGTCAGGTCACCAGGTCACTTGAAGTAACCTCACCTCATAAGAAGTTTCAATGTCTGTCATAGCTACACCGAGTGACCGATCGCTTTGAAACTTTCAGCGATTGCTAAAAGCAATAGCATGTACAAAATGTTTATCTCAGAATTTTGATATCGATGACCTAAGGTCAGGTCAATTTTGCGACCTCCCCATTATAAGTCAATGGGAGAAAATTGAAATGCGCCTCTTTTGGACAAAAGACATTATAAACACTCCCAAACACCGAAATACAAGTGGTTTAGACACACTGAACATGAAAATGGTGTCCGTGACCCTTGTTTATGCCCTGAGGTCATCTTAGGTCACGAATGGTATCTAACAGTTTTTCGCAAATAACTTTTGATAGAGGCATGCTAGAGCGATGAAAACGCCTTAGATGTGTTCAGCTCGACGATACGGATCGACTGATATGCAACATGACCCTTTCCGGTCAGGTCATGACCTTGACCTGAGGTCAAATTTTCAAGTTGACCTTTCAAGGTCAACTTATAGTTCATTCGATGCGTCTTGACGAGAGGAACACAATGCCGGTAAACGTAAGCTCGTACAAGGCTTGGGTCAAAAGTTATTGCAGAAAAACTGTTTCCGAAAAAATCGGCTATTTTTGCAATTTTTGCCCCCTGCAGGCAAAACTGTTGACGTTAGGTCAAATCTGAGATAATTACTCAGAAAGGGCGTTAATAGGGCTAACGAATGCGCTTTTCCGCGGCGCTGTAGCTCTATTGGTTCTCGAGTTATGCGTTGGCTTCTTGGAAATTTTCGACATTCGACCTGGAAATCGGCGAAATTTTGCCTTCAATGACCTCTGGTGACCTGACCTTTGACCTGACCAAAAAATTGACCGAGGTGATTTCGTCATTATTTTTGACGCTCTTTCGAACGCCGCCTTCCGCGTATCGCTACGTGGCTCAGGAGCCGAGTTACAAGGGGGGGGTGTTCAACCCCCCCCAGCAGGGCGTGGAAATCCAGGACTCCCAGCCGGGTGCGGGTTAACCCGCGCCCCACTGGGGTCTGCGTATAACGCGCCCTACTGGGGGAAGTTCTTCATAGCCCCCCCCCCCCCCTCCTAACTCTGAAACTACTGGGTCGATCGTCAAAATTCAAAGGGCGTCTGATAGCCCCGGTGAAACTGTCGAGCGAAAAAAAAACTTATTTCATTGACCTCGAGGTCACCGATGACGTCACATGTCAGGTAAAAGTAAAAATTATTAGCATGTGGCTAGTTCACATTTAGGGTTCTGGCCGCCGTCTTACAAGTCAGATCAGGCTCATTTGTGGTTTACACACTCGTGAACAGATGCTTTAGATACCCTGAGGGTACCAAACTTGTATTTTGATTTTCAGGTCAGGGTCAGGTCATCACAGGTCACGGAAGTATTATATCATGCGTCGGTCACGTGACGCATGTTTTATGGTCCATTTTGGTCATAGATTTCGAATTTGATGTCATTTGTGTTATTCGAGGTCATTTTAAGTTGAATTTAGCTCAGGTCAGGTCACTTTCAGGTCAAAGAAGGGCAAATTTTGAAGTTAAAATTTTTCAGAAAAAAAGGTGTCTATTGGATGCAGTTTGAGCTCAGGAACACGATGGTGCTATTTATATTGGTGTTCGATGTCAAATACGTACTGACAAATTGATTTGAACAATTTATAATTGTGAATTTTTTGCACTAATGCGGATACCTTGGCCATTTTCGAAGATATATAGCTAAAACTTGCTAGAGTACGTCATAAGCATGTGTTCTATCACATATATTCCGTTTTTTTTCGAAAAGTCAAAAAGCTTTTGAAAAAAGATAAAAATATACATTTTGAATTTTATTATATATAACTTTCCAAATTTTCATGATTTTGAAAATCAGAGATAGCAGTTTGATAGCATAGTCCATTCTGAGTCCTTTCATGTAAAGAAATTGGATTTAGCTTAAAAATTGAGCTCTTGGGAGCGATTGCCGTGGTTCAATGTTTTGCGTCGAAATCGCCCGAACATGACGTCACTCTGACGTCATTTCCGGCCGACCTTTGATAGCTCTACGAAGCTCATATTCTGACACAAGATGTAAAATTGATGCAGCCAAAGGTACTGAAAGTTTAGCGTCGATACGTCAAGCGGTTTGGAAGTTATTGCAGGGGGCTATGAATAGCCCCCCCCCCCAAGTGGGGCGCGGGTTAAGGGCAGATACAGCCCCTCCCCTCCTCAGAGGGGATGCTGGCCATCAGAGGGTTTGTGCATTCAAGGATGGCGAAATGGCATGAGCAGGCAGGGGCTAAATTCATACATTGTTTACATGATTGCATGTCTAATTGTATGACGTCAGCCTTGAGTGACATCATATACGATGCCTGTGATGTCATATGTCATCTGGGGTTTTCACCAATAACTCGCGTACAAATTGCGTTAAAGAGTCGCGGAAGGCCCCATTGAACTCTGAATGAGCTGCTGAACCGAATGATATGTGACTCGAGTCTCGACCTCTTTAACGTCATGTCGTGACTTATGCCAAATTTGACCTTATCTTGACCTGAGGTCAACACTTAGCTTA